CGTTAGGAAACAAAACTTCCAGAACACGGCCACACAGCCCGGAAAACCCACACCAGCCATCCCCTTCTTTCATCATCCTGGGCTGCTGCAGTCTCGCACCCCAATTCTTTCATGTTATTTATTTATTTATAGACCACACTGCTCCAGACCAACTCTAGAACCACTAATGGAAACAGCCCAAGTAGGATCACAATAGAAAGAACAAGATATTAACTACAATATCCCCCAACCAGCTAGAGTCAAAGGTAGGCTGGAATAAAATAGCTCGTACGAGCTTGGGAAAGGAAAAAGGATGGGTCCCATGCCCCTCTCAGAGGTGTGAGAGAAGGGATCCTCAACAGGCTGTTCATCCTCACCTGAAATCTGGAAATCTCACCAGATTTCAGCCATTGTTTTTCATCTTTTAAAAAGATGCTTTAGTTTTCAGGATCTGCCAATGCTTCCTACGGGCCCTGCATCACCAGCTTGCTGCCCCAGGAAGGGCAGGGTGATCAACCTGGAAATCTGTTTCCCGGATGTCTCACAGATCTCTTTCCCCCCAGCTTGGCTACTTTAATATATTTGAGAGATTTGGGGGAGCCTGAGAAAGGAAGGGAAAGGAAGAAAAAGAGAGAAATGAGCAAGAAAGAGAAAATGAGTCAGTTGGCAGCTTCTCTCGTACACCGCTACTCAGCCCAGATGGCAAGAAACCTAGAAAGAAAGGTTTCAGATCGTTCAAAGAGACTCTGTCTTGACGAAACTGGGAAATTCCTCTTGCCATTTCCAAAATTCTATATTTAGTCCGGATGAGCATTCGAGATAGACGCTTTACTGAAATGGTGTCATTTTTGCTTTCTTGCCCAACGGCGTGGGGCTTCGCAACCCATGCCTTACAACAGGCTTAACAGAGTTTCTAAAAAATACAAACACAAAGAACCCTAGGAAAATACTGAAAACTCTGCCTCACGCAATGCAGCCCTGCTCGTTTCGGCCCATCTCTCTGGCCACCATGGTCCTCTCTGCTTGAGGGAGGAAAACGACAACCAGCTCCTGGCAGGGAGAACTTCTCAGAGCTGCCTTTGAAAGCTTGAGAAAATGCATCCCATAAACGTGGAACTGGAGATTGTGGCAAAACCCTGGGGAGTCATTTGCAGCGCAACTATTTTCTGGCAGGGGGAGGTTTGCCCATCACTGCCCCCTTGCAAGAGGAAAAAACGAATCATTTGACGGGAGGCCCAGTCCAGCCCAATGTGGGGGAGCCCATTGCTTTAAGAGGGTTTCCCTGTGGCTGCCAGTGAACTTTGCAACAACAAGCAGCTGCTGAGGAGGAGACCCTTACCTCTGAGTGCGTCTTGATGATGTGGTACTTGACTCCGCTTTCTGAGCTAAACTCCTTCTGACACAGAAGACAACGATATTTGCCCACAGAATGGCCTCCCTGTAAATCAAAGACCAGACATGTCAGTTTTGCAGGCTTTTCTTTATAATAATTTGGGGCTTGGACTGGGCCATTTCAGGCTGCCTGTGGGGGATCTACAGGACTTCCTACTCCTCCGTGCATAGGTAAAGCCAGAAGTCAAATATGGAGTGGTACAGTCTAGGATCAATAAGGTGTTCTGCAGTTTATGCAATGCAGTGTTTCCCAACCTTGGCCACTTGAAGATGTGTGGACTTCTGGGAGTTGAAGTCCACACATCTTCAAGTGGCCAAGGTTGGGAAAAACTGGTCTAAATAAACAACTGACCCATTTCCTGAACTCTAAAGAGTAGGAATTACGGGGGACTCAAAAGAATGTTTGGCTCTTTTGCTAGTAACCCAAGCCATCTTGGTCTTCTGCACTTTCCTTCTACCTGTACTCCCCGCTACACTGATGAAAGAGAATCGGCTTTTGAAATTTCTTTCAAAAAGGAGAGGAGAAATTCTCACGCATTCTCGTGTTTTTGCATTACATGGCAAGATAGTAAGACGGCTGTGTGAATTTCAGTCCTGGAATTTACAACCCTCCCTCCAGCGGTCTGCAATCTTCTAGCTTCTCCCCACTTCCATTCCACCCAAACGACATTCTTGCTTCTCCCAGGACGCCTCTCTGGCAGCAATGCCCCTCTTACCACTAAGGCACTCATGTGTCACGATCCAAGCCCCGCCCTCTTTTTTTTTTTTACTTGAATTGTGACATCACACACAAGTACTTCATGGGTGGAGTTTCCATTCTGACATCACATGCTAGAACGTAAGAAGTGAGTCTGGCACTGTGACATCACAATGCACGACTGGTCATTTTCCCCAAACTGCTAGTTTCTGAGGGTGCCCATGGCAGAATGGCTGGAGAATTTCTCCTCCCCAGGACACACCTGGAGAAACTGTCCACCCAATTTTTCTGAGGAAGGAGGCTTTGAAAATGGACTTTTTAGAAACCTTACAGGAGATGGCACCTTAAGGACCAGGTTCTCTTTCTCCTAAATGTTTTTGCTACAGCCTCTGGGCTGGCCAAACACCTTCCAGCATCTGGCCATACTTTTCACAGAGGCCCTTGAAAGACAACAAAGCTCATGATGGTTCTGGAGAGTGGAGACCACAATGACAGCAGTTAATACAGCCCACAGTCTGCTGAGTAGACGGCAGGCCGATCTTTGCATACCAACAAATAAATCAGCAATTCAATGGTGGGGATCCATTACCTTGTTACAGTTGGCCAGGTGGGCTTTTAGGCCAGACACACTACAGTAAATGGCTGCACAGCACTGGAAGGGAAAACAGAGAGGCTGAGTAGAAAATTGGAGAACCTGCCCTCCCTTTCTCCTTCTCTAAGCAACACTCCTACAAGCTGTGCCTTACTTTCCCCAAAGGTCTTCTCCTCCACCAACTCCATCATTTCACTGATTTAACTGGCAGGCTCTCGCCCCACCTTTCCTGCCCCCACAAATGGGCAGCTAAGTTCTTGGCTGTTCAGACGTGCCCCCCAATGGATCTTTGAAATGCAGACTATTGCAAACAGGTGCAGAAAGTGGGTTAGCGGGAAGGAACTGTGCAGGGCCACATTTAAGGAGAAGCTGGGTTAATCAGTGAGGTTGTGATGGAATGGAATTACGGAGGCCAAGCTCAGGGAGATAAGCATTTTCTTAGCTCACCGGAACCGCATGGGAGC